GGGGAAAGGATTAACATTGTCAGCTACCAAAGTAATCACTTTTTGGCACAGACACTGTGATGAATTTTCCACCACTTAAAGTCAGCTCTGCAAATCTTTCTGAAAATGTGACACAGTTAACCAGCTATCAGTTTGCTGGAAAAAATACAGGTTAGGTTTTAGGTTGTTCTAGGTAGTGGTCTTCTATTGTGCTATAAACACATGGCATTTTGCACTACCACTACTCCCATTTTCATCAGGCAAAGTATGAAAATCTTAATGCTCTAAACTACAGGAAGCTTAAATTTGGATCCACAGGTGATTCTCATCAGTATCTCAATAACAATCTGAAATCAGTCTGAACAAAACTAAAGCTTCCAAAATATCTGGATGACACCTCTTCACTTTTATTCACCTTCTCTTTTCCCAATACCTTTAGCAAAGCTGCAACAGCCTCCTGGTTAGCATTTCGAACATCTTCTCCATTCACTGTCAGTATCTGGTCTCCTTGCATCAATCTTCCATCCATATCTGCTATTCCTCCTTTGACGATGTCTGACACAAACACCCCAGTATCATTTCTGCAAATACACAAATGGATTTTGGATTACAGCATTGTTTGAGGCCTATTTTTACGTCTCAATTTTCTGTTAAGTCATGTTGGGCTAGTTCTTCTAGAACAGCTAAATAGCTTAAGCACAAAAACTACAGGTATAGCCTTTAAGCCCACAGGATCTAAGCACCAACACAAACGTAAGCATACCCAGCAAGTTCCAGATATTGATTTTCCAGGTACATTCATACCTTTTCCCAACAATACTCAGCCCAAGGCCTTTTCCAGGCTTCTTTTGGAGCTCTATATTGAGTACATCATACATGTCTTCCTCCTTGTACTGGGCCTCATCTCTGTATACAGTCAGACGAACTTTTTGGGGAGTCTGTCGGAGGACATTTATCGCTTCATCATGTGTGGCATTCCTGAGGTCAATCCCGTTCACCTGCAGTGAAAACATACAATCATAAAGTATGCAGGACTTTCCAGCAGACAAACAGAAGATGACTAGCTAGCAAATGATAGTAAGTGATCAAAGAAACCACCACACCTCTAATATCTGATCCCCAGCCCACAGTCTCCCATCTTTAGATGCTGCTCCTTCTTCATATACTTCATGGATTATAATTGCTCCCTGTGAATGCATAAAACAAAAATAAATTGCCTGTTGAAAAACCATGCCTCTACTTTGAACTAACAGCAACTGAAAATTCCTACTATAATTCATCAGTGATAAACAAAACAGTCAGATGTATGATGAACAAATTACCAGAATATTTAAGAAGGTCAGTTATTCTTTCAATTTTAGAAGTCCTTCCCCTCTCCCCCGCCCCTCAACTGGTATTTTTGGTATCCTTCTATAAATGTTAGAGAAACATAAGAAGAAAATATGTCTTCTATCAGACATTTTAATTTCAACATTATTATTTCACTTCGGTGACAAATGTATTTTTACAACCAACCAGCAAAGTGTCTGCTCCTCCAACAATGCTCAGACCAAGACCAGTCCGCCCTTTGGAGATATCGATGGTTGTTTCACATCCAGGAATGATGGGACAAGTAGCTGGGTCAGAGACTAATGTGGCTGGAGTTGAAGATCTGCTTGTGTCTAAAACAATTAAACATCCTGGTTATAGTAAGAGGGCTTGGTATTAGAAAAGTGACTTTAAACCAGCATTTTGAAAGCCCACTGACAGCTCTATAGCAAGAGCTGAATAGCTGACCTACAAAGAACGATGGTGCTAGCTCTCTGCTCTCCTCAGACAAGCACTGTCCTGTAGTTTTTATCACAACTGTCCAGTTTTTATACCACCAAGTACCTACATCACAGTCTTGGATAGCCAAAGAAGCTATTGTACACAACAGGTTCTATTTAGGACACAACTTAAACATCTACGCTAGCAACTGTGCAATGCAGACCACAGATAAATGAGCTACATAGTATGTATCAAACACATGAACTCAGGGATGTCAGCCTTGCACTTTTGCATTAGCTCAAGTCAAGGTCCATCTAACTAAACAGTTCATCTCAGACAATGAAATGAATGGAAAGATTGTTCAGTATGGACCAAATGTAGTGATATTTCAGAAGTCCAGCAATCCACGGTCAAGTCAAGCATTTTATACAATCACTATTTAGTGGCGTTCAAAAATAACTTTTAACTGACGCATCTTTTGGAAGCAGTAAGTTTTGTGGTGTAAATATTTATTCTTACAGTGCAAGTATTATGGGATCCTTATGTAGCAATTTATCTGTAAATTCAGTATCCCTGGTCTGTCACAAATGAATCTCTGCTTCAGCATTTTTGTCAGTTCTGTATCCTCCACAGGGGAAAAAAAAAAAAAGCTAAAGATAACAGGATAAAAATAATAGGAGGGGATATTGTGTTGCAACTAAAGGAAACAATCAGCAATCAAAATGTCTGGGATATTCAGATTATCTCTGTTTCTAATGCCCCTGTGCTTGAAAGAAACACCAAAATTACTTTTTTTCCAAAAGGTAGAAACAGGTATCTAAATCCTACTGAGGCACTTTAAAAGGGCATTAATTAAAAGAAGTTCCACTGAAACTAAGAAAGGACTTCACCTTTCAGGAATATGGCTTTATGGTAGACAAATACTTAGGTATCAGGTGAGCAATGGGTCCTGCAGGAGAAGTAAGCCTCAAAACTAAGTCTTGGCCTTTGAAGGGGACCAGAAGGCCAGTTAAGACTCTTTAAGGGTAAAGCTTCTGTGCAAGTATAGATCATGTTACTCTACTGCTCTGTTACAGAAGTTCTTTGCATGTATGATGAGTAATTGCTCATGCTAGCTTGAGCTAAGTAGGGGAGTCAAGGATTAAGTATAGTCATTCTGTCTAGAAGGCATAAAATGCACATGAAACACATGAACTGAAGAACTGGACTGGAGTCTTGGTATGCAAGATGGACCTCATCTAGACAGCTGCATTGGTGCTGGGCCAAAAATTACCTACATATCTCTATGGGAAACACCAAAGTGGGGTAGTACAAATCAGACCAACAGTGAAAAATTCACTAGAGATGAGTTGCTTATTTGGAAGAAGTCTGTTCAGAGAAAACAAGGTGCAGAGGGAGCAAAAAGGTGGCCTTGGTAAAAGAAAGCAGGAGAATAAATCATAAAATCAGGTGGAGAATAAAGAGGAGGGAGATCTTCCAACAGTTGGGTTGTGGATGCCTGTAAATGGTAGTGAAGCCAAAATGCAATCACAAAGCCCCAGGATGCCAGAGGGAGCACGGCCAAAATCTCCATCGGGTCTTTATCCCTAAGACTTGCTGTGGCAGTCTAGAGATGGAAGGAACAGACTTGGACAAAGCAACAGACTTTACCCCACAACTAAATGTGAAGGGAAGACAACATAATTATTACTCAGTATGTCTCCCGTGGGATTCTTTATAGTAATATAACTGCATATCAATACTACTGCTTGTAATAAGCAATGGAAACATGACTTAGTAATACTTGCAGTGATGTACATATAACCTAACTGTAATGTGTGCATTACTCAATTAAGTTATTATCAGCTTCTTAGTAGTGTGGTGCTTAACCAATAGCTATCATCACTCACTCACATTTCAACTCTCTATTTTAAAGGGGGAGAGTCAAATGTGGATAGTTAATAACTGGCAAGACAGTCTCAACCATTCCCCTGTTCTAGGAAAGATGAAATGACTTTTCTCCCTCAGTAAATGGAATGCCTCCCACTTAAGTTTTAGACAACCATGACAGAGGCACCTGCTGTGCAGCTTTTGTGAGAAAGGAGAAAATCCCTCCATCTTCCTGCCTCTGCAACAGGCCACTGAGAAAACAAGAGGCAGGTCTTTGGTGTGGAGCCTCACTGCTTCATTTAGATGGATCTGTAATCCAAAAGTCCTAGGAAATGCAACTCAGAACACAGCTGAGTGCATACAAAAATAGAAAACTTGTTTACAAACTGTGTCTTTATTTTTATGTCACAAGACAGACACACACAGAGGAAGAACCTTACTTTTCATGGCTTCTGGTTCTGGTGAGCTGGAAGAGGGAAGATGTGCTGGTGGCTGCATACTCCTCCTCTCTGCTGGGCCAGTACTCGGAGGAACTGGTGCTGCAGACAGGCTATCTGTCTCCACTGAGTTGATTGTAAGTCTCACCACAGTTTTGGATGTCTTCAGCAGATTAATAAACTGAATGACAAAGAGAAAAGCTGGTGAAGAGTGTAACTCTGCACTGTTCAGTTATAAAACAAAATACAGCAGAAGGATTGTTCTGCAGACTGGAGCTACAAGTCACAATCATGCAGGTTTTCTTGATAATGATCAAGTACAAATATTGACATTTTCTATAAGAAACAGCAACAGAGCTAACTACGGGCCAGTTAGCTGGTGTTAATCAACTAGCTTTCATGAAACTTCACTGAACTACCCCAGATGACAATGTGTCACCCTTCAGATGGCTTCTCTGGACAAAATACTGTTTATAGCAATTATCAGAAAAATAATAATACTCGTCTTTTATTGCTTGGGTGAAGCCCAATTCTGATCCCACAGAATTCAATGTCAAAACATCTACTGATTTAAATAAATGTGCTACTGCCACCCTAGCTCCTTAACTGGATGCACAGCTGGAAGAAAAATCTGAAACTATTACCTGAACTATGTCAGGGAGAGAAAAAACTAGGGTGTAACACAAAATCTAGTTTAAAGGCATACTGCAAAACCTTAAAAATTAATTGCCATCTCACAGAAAAGACACCAAATCCGCCTGCGATTTTACATTTCAGTGGAAGTATTTTCAGAAATTACCTACTCAGTCTTTCTGTCTCATCTCTTAAAGCCTACCTACTTCCCTGCAGACAAATTCATTATCTCCTACTCACTCCTTCAGAGATAGCAGTGCATCCAAGAGTAGGATGGATGCTCTCCTAATTCCCCTTTTAACAAGTAGAAAGTAATCTCCTCATGCCTAAAGAATCACCTTTCTTTGTAGCAAGGCAGGTGCTAGCAAAATGCTCTCCTTGATTCACAGAGGAACCCAAATTGAGTTTGTAGAGATAGAAGTTAGAAATAATCTTGTTATTTAGGAATGGAGATTGTTTTCTCCAAAGGGCTGAAATACCAGGCCTGGAATACGAGGCTGTTATTACACACACTCCCTACATAAAACCACAGTTCATGACCTGTTTACCACTGATGCAACTTACCCATGTAAATTTACAGGTATTAATTTTTGCTTGTTCTAATACTTTCAAAGTGGCATAGGTATGAAAAAACATTATTGAGCAATAGTTCATGGCTTTTCTCCCACAACTAAGTGCCTCTCAGTCACCGGACATGAACCGCAGGGAAAACAAAAATCACAACTGTAGCACAGAGATAGATGATTCATGTAGTACATTAATGTAAAATAGCAGCTGAGCTTTAAATTCAGGTTTTAGCTTATTCTGCAGTAATTCAGTAGTTTCCTATCCAGATAATGTCTGCAGACCTTCGTTTTTTTAGCCAGATTTGAAAATGAACAGAGTATAGTCACGAAAACCTCACTCTTTGTTTAAGACACAGTCACCTCCTACATTAAGGGATGTGATTTCTGCAACATTCCTGACAGTTCAGAAGCACCTTTTCTACTGGATATCCCACAACAATTTCATCATCCACCGCCAGGATCCGATCTCCAACTTTGATTCGTCCATCCTGGAAAAAACATAGAATGAAAACTTTGAGCTCTGGATGCTACTTCAAAAAACATTTTTCATTCCTTATTTGGATTTTAAATGTTCTCACACCTTTGCTGCTGCACCATGATCTGTTAAACTCTTAATAACTACTCCATGAATTGTGTCTTCCTCACTAATGGCAATTCCAAAGCCTCCTTGATCCTGGGGCAAACAGAAAAAAGCAAATGGTTAGGTACTGCATTTCTAAAAATGTTAGAACACATTCACTAAATAATCTGCTAATTCATTTGCTTTGAACTTCTAAAGCAATAATTTTACCTGAGGCACCACCACCAGCTGGTTACCAAAAGCTTTGTGAATAGGACAAGTCGTGACTTTTTCAGAGACACAGGGCAACTCACAAATTTATGTGAAGTTAAAAGGACTCATGAGATACCGAAGTCATTATGTCAGGAAAACCTTGGGGTCCTTTCACAAAAGACCTCTAGAAATCAATTCTGACTTCCAGTAAGTTTGTTTGCCATAAGAGGGACTCCATTACAGAAAAGCAAGCTAGCACATAGAAATGTGGCTGATGTAAATTTAATTTTCAGCACATACCTTAGGGAGTTCCACATACTGAATGTTTTTACAGGAACTGAAGTCAGAACAAGCACTGGAGTTTGCAGCAGTGATACCAATCTAACAGAAAATGAAAACGTAACTGTGAGCAACAATATTCAATATTTTCCATCAAAATAAAATAGCATACAAACATTTAAAGTGGGTATGGTTATTTTCTGTATTCATTTAAACTGCTATAATTGAATTCATGGCAATATTAGATTCTCTTCATAGTTTAGACAAATAAAAAATAGAATAGAACTGAGCACAGCTGTACTAAATTTAGCAGGTTTACTAAAATCTCATTCCTTTTTCCCTTGGATTTCTTTTTATTTTGTAGTATTTGTCAAGCAAACAGGACATTCCTCTATTCAGAACAATGTTACTATCTTAGTCAATGAGAAAAACAAAAATTTACTCTACCTCTGGAAGAGTCCCTGAGGTGCACTGTGAAGCCTCTACCGGCTTTGCAGGACAAACAGCCATCTGATTTACTGCATCTTTATTTCTACAATAGATTCCGTTAAGAAATGTAGTGAGAATTAAGTAATACAGCATTGTACTTCTTAGAACAAGTTTAAGTCTAGTGCCTTCCTTTATTTCTGGCACTCACATTGCAAATACCAAAATAGAAAACACAAGACACATTTAACAGCTACCAAGAACTGGGTTCAAAAGCATATCTACCTTAACCAAAATTAAAACTAAACCAGAAACACTGTGTAAAATTTGAGCATATTAAAAATAAACCTTTTTAGCCAAATCTTTAACCAGAACTTACCTTATAAAGATTATTTTTACTTTAGATGGTGCACATTTGATGATTGAGGAAGCATTCTGATGAGTCCTTCCATAGAGTATTTGCCCATTTATCTACATAAAGAAAGGTAGCAATTATTGGTCCTAATATTTTAATTCCCTTAAACTATTTAAGCTTTTAAAAAAATCCATTATCCCACATCACTGACTAAAGAAGCAATTATACTGAAATAGCAGAGTATATTGCCCTGTTTTCACTCCCTTCTTCCAGTACAAAATTCCTTACAGTTTGATTTCAGTCTAACACTGTCACAGTGTTAAAAATGCCACTCTGAGTTATACTGAGTTGACTTGGCACATCATCTATTTCCACTTGCCATTGATCACCTCATGACTGATGTGGTGGTAAAGCAGGGCCATGGGAAATTCTAACTGTAACAAATAAAGGGATTGCTTATATCCAGCAATAAGTTCATATTTACCAAATCTCAGCTCTGAGCCAGGCACTTTATACAGAAGAGTATGAAAACTCATGCATTTACAGTATGAAGGTCTGACGTGACAATCATTGTCTTTGCTTGAAAGAGTAGACTCACTGAAACCCCTTGAAGATCAGAGGGGCTTCAATTGAATTTGCAGACTAGGGCTATTATTCACTCACACTTTTGTATTGCATTTCTTAGAAATGGAAAACTACAGTGAAGAATTCCACTCTAGAAAAGCCGAAATGATTCAAAAGGGACAGTTTGGACCTACACAAAGGGAAAATAATGAAATACATACTGAGTTAGTACTAACAGAAGCAAAGTAGTGGCAAACAGTGAGCAAGAGATGCAAGACACTGAACTGAGGGTTGAAGCTGTATCCACCAGGGACAGTCACAGGGACACTGAGCCCTGTCATCTACATGGGCTTGTGAAGAACCAGGGAAGGCTGTCAGCTGCAGGATGGAGCATGGCCTGCCACAGCTGAGGCACAGCTACTTGGGAACAAAAGGAGCAAGCTCAGATGTCTCCTCTCGGAAGAGGTTCAGACAATCTCTTGGCATCAGGTTTACAGTATGGACAGTAAGCAAGAAATCACATGAGAGAAGAGTCAGACAGACATGTTTAAATGTGTCCTGAGGATATTCAGTATCTGCAACATAAAGGTTTAAAAAAAAACAACTCCATCTAACTGATTCAAGAGAACCATCTAGCAGGTAACACTGGACCCTGCAACTGATAGGTCCCTCCATGAGACTGGGTCCAGAGTGCCACAAATCCCTTCTTTTCCCTCCTAGTCTGCAACTGCCATCTTACACTGTTTACACTCTCCGTGTCTACCTCAAGCTTTGCTCAGTCTCACTGCTGCCTCCCTGTACCATCTTCCCAGTGCATCCTCAAACACCTCTGCAAACAGTTTTGAAGTTACACATCGCACTTCTGTGAGGATAATGTAACCTAACGTTACCTACCGCTACCAAAAAGAATGGGAAAAGCTATAGCAGAGAATATCTCCGCAACTATCATCAACTGTGGTAATATAAAAATATACCTTATGACCATATACATACTCGGAATGCACTTTCAGTGGTTAGGTCCCTTCATAAAGCCACTAGTAAACAGCTCCAAAGTGTCGTGAGATAAAAGTCCATAATACAGATGGACCTGTTCCTGTTTCCACAATTTAAATTCCATTGTATATGTTACACAATATAAAAGTATTCTGACATCATCATACTTCCAGTAGATAGAGAAGTAATTAGAAAGTCTGGAACACTCCACAGATGGATGGACTAATGCACTTTTAATTATTTTCCATGGTCTGCAATATACTGCCCTTCCATACATCTCCATAACCCAGAAACTGCTGTCATCCCTCACTTTTGTCCATTTTAAACGCACACATCTTAGTACTACTATAACCAACTACAACTATCTGGCATACATTGGAATGAAAATCTGGTAGCATTGTGATATCAACTTGGATAAGTTAGGGATTTCGAAGTCCACTGAAGAACATCCACCCTACAGCAAGAATCAAATATTTTAATGCATTTTAAGTTGGTATGCTTGGATTTCAGTAGAAATTGCAAAAACTCACCTCTAGTAACTCATCTGCAATCTGTAACCTGCCATCTTTGCCAGCTGCTCCATTTGGATCAATTCCCACTATAAAGACACTCATCCTGGATCGGTCTTTGTTACCAGCAAGACTAAGTCCCAGACCTGTCCTTCCTTTTTCCAGTTCAATCATGTGTAGCTCCCCCGACAGACTTCCATAGCGCTGCACGATCTTTTCTAAATGTAAAAGTGTGGGCAGCAGAGGTTGGATTTACAATAGAGAGGTTCGTAAGTCACCTACACAGTCAAGATCAGTGTCCAGTGAGCAGTATTGGACAGAAGAATACCAAACTGGGCATGAGTATTTTAAGTGTACACTTTTAAGCTAAGCTTTAGGTGACTTATAACAGTATTTCTAGTTCCTTGTTTTCCCTCTAACTTCAGAAAACATTAAAACCTCCCATAAAGAAAAAAAGAAGGTGATAATCTTCCCTCCAGTAACAATTTCAGGTAACGAAAGCTATCACACCAATTACTGCTGTCAGTTACCTACAGTACAATGAAAATCTTCAAGGAGTCCTACATGTGAAACAGTGAATTTGGACCATGAAGGAAAACAGAGATTGGAATGCAACGAAGACAAATCAGTTTTGTATTTCACTATGTGCGTCTGACCAAGCACAGCTGAAAGCTGACAGGCACACTTAACACCCAAAACAGAAAGCACATGAAATAGTTAGAACAGGACCCCCCCACACCCCACCCCGTATCTTCTGCTACAGTGCTATTTCAACACGAAGTATTTCAAACATTGTCATAAAGGATAAACTCACTCCAGCTGTAACCGAACTCATCCTCCTTTTCCCCATCCTCTGGGGCTCTGCTAGAAGATGACTGTGCGACATCACAGCTCATTCCTGAAAATGCTGAAGGCGGGGGCACAGGCAAGTTATACAGTGAAGTCTTTTCTGGTTCTAAATCAGACTGACCGAATACCTGTGGAGAATAAGAAAAAGACAGAGACTAAGCAGATGCAGACTCTGTGCAGGGCAAACTAGTATACAAAAATGTCGAATGGCAATGACTATGGCTTTGAAGTTTAAATACCAAGCAGCTGGAATTCTAAATTAGTAATATGGCACAGAAAGGCTGCAAGAGATCAAAGACAGAAACAAACACCAGGCAAGGCAAGAGATAACATCACTCCAAAATGTATTCAGAAGCAAACAGACCTCACAGTAAAAGCCCAATTCAGTAAAGTTTTATGTGCCACTTTACATTTCAGAAAAAATCTCTTATGAAGACTCAAGCAATTTTTTTTTCTTAATGCCATATTTGTAAGAGACTTCCACTCAATTTTATTTTTAAAAGCTACTGCATATAATGTCTTCCTATTATATTCTTTGGAAGCCAAATCAGAGGAAAAGGAAAGGAAACAACTTGGTGCTTTCAAAAAATGCCTTCAGAAAAAAATAACTGGTATATTAACTCACAGGACAATTTAAAAATAAACGGAATAGACAACACTGAAGAAATCCACAGTATCTGGACATTTTCAGTCTTATTTTCTGATTTTCTATAAGCTGCACAGGGAAGATCAAACAAAGCAGGAGGAGACCAATACCTTTGGTCTTCATGTATGTGGTCTGTTCTTATTTACAAAAAATTTAAAAGTATTACTACACGACTACTGCAATATAATAGTTAAATGCCCAAATGCAGAATCTGGCAAGCCTCCATCCAAGTCAGTTTCCCTGAGGAATATGACTGTGATTAGGGATTTGGCTAAGGGTTTGTAATTTATATCATTATGGCTTGCTCAGAGTAAACATGTAGTCAAGAAACTTGTGCCTGAGTATCATCATTCTGAAGCCTATGCATGCTCAAAAGGCCAAGACACTTTGATACTTGGCAGATCAGCAGTCGATGTAAACAACAAAAACTTCAGTGGAAAACAAAGTATTTTTCCAACACTAAGATTTTCAGGTGTTGCCTTAGCTTCACAGGCCTGTTCTCATCATTTCAGCTTTCATTACCTCCATTAGCATAAGTCTGAACACGTGGTGTTTCTGGGTACCGAAAACACCAAGACAACTTCATCAGAGGCAACAGTGAAATGGGTAACAACATACACCTTGGGAAACTCCAATCTGCTTTAAATTAAAAGTGTTGAAAAAAAATGGCAAGTTACCAATTTAGTCATACCAAAATTTAAGGAAGGTCCCATCTCTCAGGGAAAATGAGTTACCTTCATTCTCTGTATACCTGAAAGATTTAAAGAAAATGAAAATGCCCTATTTCTGTTCCTTCATTCTGCTTCTGCTTGAAAAAAAAATAATTCTTTTCATAGAATTACAGAATCATAAAACGGGTAGGGATGGAAAGGACCTTAGGATCATCTAGTTCCAACCCCCCCTGCCATGGGCAGGGACACCTCATCCTACACCATGTCACCAAAGGCACTGTTCAGCCTGGCCTCGAACACTGTCAGGGATGGAGCATTCACCACTGAATTCAGGAACTTGTTCTAGGAACTTAGCTAGGAAGTCATTCAATGTCAAAAGTGTGGTAAATTTTAATACAGCACCCAAGCCAATCATTTTTATAAAAAAACCCCATATAAATGCTATATGATTTTTTGTATCGTATCAGTCACATTGATCTGTGTTTGAAATTTAAGACAATGTCATTCAGCTGAGATGATACCTCGCATCACAAAACTTCATGTAGGCATTATTTACAACTTATGCAGATTATACTCTAAAACATGCTAATAGTTACAGGGCAGAAATAAACCTCAACTGAAGCATCAAAATTCTAGCAAAGACATTGTTACCCATCAGAACAACAGCTGAGTGGAAACAATATTTAATAACATTCGCATGATCAAAAATTCATGTATCCACAATGGAGAGAATTTGGTGACAGACCTCTACCTCAAGGAAGAATGAAGGGGAGAGTAGTTCTAGAAACACTGATTTTTCAAAGTGCTTCCTAGAGTTTCAACTGGAAAGCTATGTAACATACAGAAAAAAAAGAGGAACTAGAGGGTGGAAGCAGACCAGATCAGCAGACCTTACAGTAGTCTCTGTGTTTTAAATCCAAAATTAACTTATCACTTTAGCGGTACTCTTGGTAAATGACAGTGCCCAAGAACTCTGCAAAATTAACGAAAACAAGACCAAGAAAAAGAACAAAGAACTGCTGTCAAGAACCTCTGGAAGATCTGTAATGTATGGATCTATGGCTGACAGATCAGCATTTATGAACTGCAGCCACCACAATCTGATAAAAAAAAAGTTTCCTTCTGTATCTCTGTGCAAGCGTACACTAATCTGAACATGTCTGAAGTTTAAGGAAATGCTGAAACCAAAGTAAAAGCAAGGCTCCTTTGTGAGAAGGGTAAAAAGGGTGTTGCAATGGTATTTGGGTGGAGGGGATCATGTCCTGCATCGAGAATACAGGCTGCCACGCAGGCACTGCCAGCAGCAGAGGCTGGCTGCGACAGTTCACACACACATAAGACTTTTGCTCCCTGAATCGGGCCACACACAGAAAACCTAAAATGCTTTAACTCATGAAATACTTTCAGTGTGCAAAGGCACAGTATTTCATTTAAAATGCAAAGCACCAGACAGTGCATGAACCCATCTGGCTACCAGGGTCACTGATCACAGCCAAGCAAATGTTAGAAACGTGGAGCAGTATGATTTTCAACAAAGGAGGCACACACAGAGGAAGAAAGGTATCACAGGCCATGTACAAATGTACAGCACACATACAGTAGAACCCACTCACTGGAATCAAGACAAACCTTGAATGGTGTGGGAGCAAAAGGGTTAGTTGGGGAACAACGGAAGGTAACCCTAATTGGATTCGATACCTCCTACAGTAACAGAAAACAGCAATCCATATGTTACAGCACCTTTGGCAATACACAGCATTATTGATGAATAACTCATTATGGATTCATTTTACTAACTGCAGCAACTTTATTAACTCCATTTGTAAATGGACAAAAGTATTTATGGGGTAATTAAGGACCCTGATTCAGCAAAGTTTCTTACTGTACATGAACCTTAGTTCAGCAGAAGAGGAGACAACAAAACGCCATTCTTAATGTTTAAAAAGGAATTATGCAGAACCTGCAAGAACATTAAGTTTTCTCTAAAAATGTGCAATTTCTTTTTTTTTTTCCCAGAAGTACTTCTGAAAATATAAAAAATACAAGCCATCATTTCTGTTACACTTCTACTCCTGTTCCTCAGAACTGTAACAAGCACAAAGACAGATTTCAAAAACACACATGCAATTATACACCACATATCATAAATGCTTGTTATACATTCGATGTATTTGACAACATGGGAAAAGAGACAAAGGGCACGCTCACTCCCAAGATGTATAACCAGCTAATTTACTAATTCAGAAATGCATGCACATAAGAATGAAGCTTTTATTTATTACTTTGGTAGAGGTTAAGTCTGTTCCCAATATAAGTAACATACAGTAAGCACTAACCACAGGAAAAAAAGAAAAAGAGAATTCTTTCATATTTCCAAAGATGTCAGCATCTTGTTCATGGTTCACTGAAATACTTTTAAAGAAGCAGATGAAAAATATTTTCAGCATCACAAAACGAAAGCTGCTAGTGTTGTTTGGGGATTTATTTTTTTTCTAAAGCAAAAATAAAAACAGGTATCAAACCTGGAAAGTCCTAACCACATAAAAAGAAAATGAAGTACGCAGCAGCAAAACACCTCATGCTGATGAGAGAGTTACACTCGGGTGGGTATCTTACGTATACCACAGGGTCTAATTTTGTAATTAAGAACCTACTCCTTTGGTAGCTCTGATTATATCAGATTTAGTGGCTATGATTAATGGAGCTGGCATTTTTTTAACTTCTTCAAAACTTTCTATGTGCATGTGTGTCTGTGGCTTTTTAATTCACTACACAGAAACTCCACTCTCATCAGCACAGTATTTTACCCAAAATGGTATAAAAGAATTTAAATGCAGACACACTAATGGCAAAGAAGCACACATATAATGTTTGGTGAGTCAAAAGCAGACAGTGTGTCATCATCCAACCTTGTTAGTGTTGAACTGAGAAGAATCGACAAATGGGTTAGTGCTGCTGAAGACAGCTGGCCTACAGAAAAGACTGTTCTGTGGTAAAGGCAGGGAAGGGGTCTAAAAGGGAAACATAATAGAAACTAAACAAAAACATTTTTACATGAATCCTTACTGACTCATGAAACAAAACATATTTAGTTAACTGTTTGTGCTATCCAAACAAGGTCTGCTTCCTGTACTTTGCTACAGACATGTGAAGGTAAGCAAAACTGTATTTGTCCAGTGTTTGCATCAGCTATGTTTAGATGAGCATAAGCGAAAGCCTCCTCATAGCTGTTCTAGCCCACAAAGTGCATAAAGTGCAGAAGTCAGCAGCATAAACAATAGAAAAAATACTTACTAATGTTTGATATTTGTACGGTTTTGTCCAAGCATCTCAGCATGTATGCCTGATACTCTTACACCTTAGTTAATTATAAAGTTGTGGTTTTCCCAATTAGAATAAACATAATTCTCTGTAATAATGCAGTAGATTTACTTTTATTTTGAAAGCCACAGATTAATTCTCATTATTTAATTTACCTCCTGTGGTAACATACTCACTGTCTATCTTGCAAAAGAAAAGGTTTAGTAATACTAGGCATGTCTAAGCAGATTTCATATTTAATAATTACTTTTACAGATCACTTTTTATGTGTGTGCATGCATCTGTGATTTTCTGAATGTATAGTTTAATGAGACTAAATTCTCTGGTCTTCTCCTTAAACAATACAAGGGACTTCCTTATTATTATTTAACACAAAACGAGTTTTCGTATTTAGACAAAATTAAAGCATTTTAAAGTAATGAAAGGATTAGTATTCCTTACACAGTTTTTGTACTGTATTTTATTTTGGGATCAGAACCTGTTTAATAAAGAGGAATAACTCTGATTTCTGCACAGTATTTTGGAAATACTGTTCAATTTATTCTTAAAAGTAATTTCTACACTAGGAGTATCCATCTGGCAATTAACTAATTGTCGTAGGGCTCTAGGTTTAACACTGCTGGAAAATAAGTATAGTAAATGGAAAGGAATGTGGAAGGTCTGCAGCATAAACTGATACATTTATACTAAAGTAATTTAATCCAGATATATGCTGCTGTTTTAAAATTCTCCTGAAGCATTTTGTTTTCTTAAATGCTCCTAAAAATAGAAAATGCATCCCTGAATATTTATTCTCAAATATCATTTTGCAAAACAAAGAGTAACGTAATTTGGTGAGACAACATATGTCTTGGTTCCACAGTATCTTCATCAGTGAGAAAGTACTGCTGTGCACAAACGGTTGCCTAGAGAGGTGGTGGATGCGCCATTGTTGGAGACATTCAAGGCCAGGCTGGATGTGGTTCTGGGCAACCTGATCTAGTTGAAGATGTCCCTGCTCATTGCAGGGGGGTTGGACTAGATGACCTTTAAAGGTCTCTTCTAACCCAAACTATTCTAGGATTCCATGAACAAGGTTTCTTCATTGACCAGTCAAAGTCAACAAGCAGTTTCCCTACAGTGTAAGATTTTTTTTTTTTACACATGCAATTCACATTTGATATGGAAAAGTAATTTGCCAGTGTATTGACCCTATTACATTACATTTGCCATCTGCATAGAATTTTAAATTGAATCTTCGTAAAATTTTATGCAACTAAAATAACCATCACAAACATTTTGTACATACCCAGTGAAATCCTAGTAAAGAGAAAACAAAAGATCAGCCACAGCAATTCAAAATCTTGCCTTTTGTATTTCATCATGATGGTAAAGCACCTAAAATACTACTGCTAGCTCAAATTCTAATCCATGAAACAGCACTGTTATTAATGTGCTATTAATAACACTACCATGAGAAAAGAATAGAGAGCAACGTTTAGCATGCTTTCTTACAAAGCCTAGGACAGGAAAAGCAAATGCTACAATAAAGGCTATTTTTCCTGTTACTGGGTTGTTGGGTTTTTGTGTTGTTTGGGGCTTTTTTTCAAAACAAACCCTAAAATAACAGGATTTATTTTTTATTTAACTAACTTTCATTCAGCATTTTAATATGTCCAGGACGCTGAAGTATCACAAACTAGTTAGCATTTTGTATAGTACAATGCTGTAACCCTACAAATTACCTGGGACCATAACCATCGTGATAGATAAATTCTTACTCAGAAATACCCAGAGCAGTGCCACTAAGAAATCTGTTGGGTAACTTCTTGCCAGAAAAACTATCAACCAGCTTTTCACAGCTCATTTGCATGGTGTGGGCATTATTCTGGAGAACACTTAGGATCTCCTTACCAACTATAGAAGCCTAAATGAAAAAAACAAATGGGAAGAAACTGACTGGCTAGCAACATATCACTTGAAACTGACTGCCTTGCTAAATACATGGTGTTATCATATTAAATATAGTAACTCTGTGCAGGCAGCTAGCTATCTGGGTCACTGCACATGAATGAAGGCAGGAAATTCCCTTGTAAGATCTTACTATAAAGTACAGATGCAAGTTTCAAAAGATGAAGAGAATAAATATAATGCCATTTACAAAGATCACAAAGCAACACATATGTACAGTAAGATCATTTGCAATGTTTCTGCTTACAGAGAAACAAGGGCTTTTTAATAAACAGCCAAGAAATAACCTACAAACTTAACAATTGAAAAATAATGACAACAAAGAACTAACATCAAAAATAGCAAAGAAGCATTCTCTAAATGAAAGTAAATTGCGATAAAGTAATGGCATCATTCCCACCCCAAACTGGCCTGAACATTGAGCAGTGGCAGTTTTGTTCACATCACAGCAAATGCAAAAGGCTTATTTTAGTAGCTCGAGCATCAACAACCAACATTCAATAGAGCTTTTCATGCAACTTTACCTTAGATGACTGACGATAAAAGGGGTTAGTAGTTTTCTGCCCACAGTGAGCAGAAGCTGAAGAAGGGCTATAAAGAGAGTCTGGCTGGGGAACAAGAGTTATGAGACAACTAGTAAATAAACATGCAGCTTACACAGACTCTACAAAGAGGAAGTTTAGTTTCTAGTGATGCAAGCAACTTATATTAAAACTCAGTAGCTTTTGTCTGCAATGTCCATGCAGCTTAGTGACGGAAAGCTTTCGTGTACTTCTAGGTCCTTTCATTAATGTCCAATGAATTTTTTTAACAGGTGCTGTATTTCTGCATGCGCTCCTCAGACATGCTGTCAATCTCTAAGAGTTGGGTTTATTAGACTCCTACTCTGCCCCCCAACAAATTATCTTTCTTGAGGCTTTTCAAAATAGTTTGAGGACGGCGTGCTGGAGGGCAATTCCAAATCCAAATCGATTTCACTCTAAATGGAAATAATACTTAAATCAAATATTTGTTCCTACAATGGCTGAGATGGAACTTTAAGGATTAAATATCCCATTCCCAAACACCACCACCTTGAACACTGTTTTATCTATTATTATGTATTACATCTCTTTTCATATTCTTTATGCTTACCCTTGGTTTGCTTATAATGCTTTGTACCATAAAGACTACAGGATTGCCTGCCTTCCGTATGGCTTCCACAGCTTGTTCATGGCTGGCATCTCTGAGATCAATTCCATCCACCTGTAATTGGAAGGCCTCATCTTAAAATTGCAAAAAGCTACAAGAATCATGAGTGAGCTTTGTATTTTGATTAGGGGACTTTGAATAAAACCTACGCCCAAACCTTTGTTACTGGTGCAAAGGTTTCTAATGACTTGGCCTGAACGCACACGTTTGAGATTTCCAACAGCACTGAAAAACATCAACTAAATATTCTCCATGGTTTTAAAACCAGGATGTCAATGTTCTTGGTTCAGGCTCCATATGTTTTCCCACAAGCAACATAACAGAAGAGATATGATAATAAGAGGAAATAAGATAATGTAAAGAAAGTGGTAGTGTTTGCCAAATACTGCTTCCTGTAAATCCTATCCTGGAATAACCTTCCTCCCAAGACTTTACGAGATTTACAAACTGAAAATTGTTAGGTGCTGGAGAGTCTTTCATTATGGGGTATGCTGTCAGTACAGTGTACTTTTTTTCTTTTTATTTTTTTTAAAGCACGATAAGACAACTTTAGCTACTAGACACTTCCCACAGAAGTTAAACTTTCAGGTCAGAGCTGAAAAGCTTTCTCTCTTCTGGAAGTAAGGATTTACACAGGGTGACAAAAGACAAATTTTTGCTTGGTTGCTTTTCTTCATTCCTTTGTATGCATTGGTGTGTAAAACAGTTTGCCTCGTGATTCAGGTAAGCACCATGTTACAATGAGGTTAGCATCAGTAGAGCATTCTTACAGTGGCCATAATGAAAGCTAGAAGCTAACATAGAAAAGTTATTTGTTAGTGGCAATTCTTGAACACAAAGTTATAAGATGAGGATTACCCCTACCTTTTTAATTGTTTACCTTAACCATTCAATGTAAATAAAAAGAGCACAAAAACAATCTGAGAAAGAAAATTCTAAATCTGCAAGGAACTGAACAATAACACTACAGCACTCTGACACCCCATGATTGAAATACTGTATGCACTAGTACAGAATAGCTTTGGTACACCACAACTTGAGTAACTGAAATAATCCATTCAGAAACAGTCACATTAGCACACTATTAGTTACTTAATTTCACTCACTCACTCCAACTTCTGCAAGCACCATTGTCAGAGACAATTGGTGCATTTATAAAAATCCAGGTATACAGCTATAAGTAAGGTTTTTCTAATTTTTTATCAAGGAAATTCCACCTCCCAACTTGTTATACACTGGAAACTCTTCCATCCTGCTGCAGAAAGTACTGTCTATATTACGATATTATTTCAAGATCCTGTATACAAATCTTGCAGCAGACAGCAAACTGCAGTTTACGTATCACTGCGTAAAGCCAGCCCAGTCTGATCTAGGGGAAGAATCACCACTTCCATCACCCTGCTTAATATGTTCTTACTGATGGACAATCAGCTAAGGACATCCAGCAGAGTGTAGGGGATTGCAGTTCCTAATGGCCTGACACTCGAGATGAGGTAATGTCTGACTTATGATAATCATCGCAGGAAAGACACGCTCTTTTCAGTATATTCATTCTTCTCATCTTTAAACGAGAAAGCACAAGCGGCTGCATGAACACAGAACCGGCTAAGCTGAAGAGAAATCTAGATGAATTCCTCCCTGTGACACCACTGGTTACCCTGTCCTCAGGCATGGACACAGTGCTCGTAACTTCCTCTGTACCAAATCCAGCCTTCTTCATGTAAGCAGAAAAAAAAAAACCGTCACCCTTAATTCCTGCACAAGACGCACAAGAATGATGTGATCTGAGGAAGATTTAATTAGGAAGCAAGCTTGGCATTTATTTGTATACTTTGCCATTCACCAGCCATTTCTGTTGCTATCCAATATCCAAAGGTAAAACCTTTCAGCCTCACTAAACTTCAGCTTTTTCCTACACATTCTGGTTTGAAAACAGGCAGGTAGAACCGCTGGCTTTGTAGCCGCCTGCTCACAGAGTCCGTCATCTATGCTTTAGATTGTATATTCAACTTAAAGCTATCTGCACACAAACATCAGCAGATGGTACTACATACACTCTGTATGGCTCAAGAGGTGCCAGCTGGAGCAATTACACAGCTGTTGGCCCAGCTGACCACCTCAGCGGCTCCTGAGATGCCAGGGTATTACAAGCAAAAGGCACTCGGCTGGTACCTCCACAATCCGATCTCCGGTTTTCAGCGTCCCATTTTTGCCGGCTGGGCTGTCTTCCAGGATGTGCTTGATAAAGATCCCTCTCATCACTTCTCCATTACTCAAGCGGCTCCCCATCCCTCGTCCTCCAACAATGCTGATTCCCAGTGACTTGCTAGGCTCTCTCCAGAGTTCAACCCTGTTGTGACAAAACAAGGATCAAAATAAATGAAAATGTTATCATTATGACCAAAATAAATGAAAATCTGCTGTGATTATGACAAAGCTGCACAATGAAGACACCTGGATTTGCACAATGGCTTAAAAAAAACCCCAAAAAACCAGAAATAGCTCCTCCTTGGAAATTTATTTTTTTTCAGTGAAGTTATCTACTGGATTGCTCAGAAAGTCTGCAATTGTGTTTGCTGTTCAGTTTATTTTGGATTCTAATCAAAACTTGTAATACTTCTATCTCTTCTTACTGGGTCCCAGAGAGCCAGTCTATAAAGACGAATTACTAAAATAAGCAAGAACCTGCAAGACTGCAGTGATGAGGCCCAATGGAAGTAAAAATCAACAGTGAATTACTCCTGCAATGTACAACATACATAAGTGCAGCAATTCTGTTGTTTTCTTACTCATCTTACAATATATTACAGGACTAATTTTTTTTTAATTTCAGATGAAATTTTATACTCTGCAACTAAGATCTGCACTTACTTTCGGGGCTGGTTCCAGTTACTGAAAGCTGCATTTTGAAGTTCACTTTCTTCTCCTTCCCCCTCTTCACGTTCTGGAAGCTCTGGGAGTTCCCTGCTAACAAACAGGAACAGCTTTTTATTGCAATGGCTGTTGGTCTGAAGAAAATTCTCCATCTTTCAGCTCTTCTAAAATATCTTCCTGAACTGTGCAAAGTTTACAGAAAGAGTTACATTTGAGAGTTCTATGTGAGAAAACAGTAAGTCTTTTGACTCACCTGACAGTATGTGAAGGAAAAAGCTCAAGTGGCACAGCTCCCTCTGTTTGTTGTCCCAAACTGGCCCTGTACTTGTCCAAATTTTCTGCTGGCACATACGTAATACTGCAATAAAATGGGACATGATTAAAGCAGTATAAGGACTGCTGGTCCTACCTTTGGTGTGTGTGAGGAATGGTTATGAGGAAGCCACTCAAGACTACTTCATGGAGTCACTGACTTCAAAGCCACAATGCTGGTATGTTTGGAATAAGTAGTTAAATGAATCCTTTGTGACTTTGCAACAAATATGCATTTATGGTCAAATTAGGTAGCTGAACAGCACATGATTTTCTGAGGGGTGGCCACTCCATTTCAAGTAAATGGTGCTTGAACAACAAGAGTGTAATAGAGACAATCCAGCTTCAGTCAAAAACAGAGATTCCTCGTGCAAAGACAAACACTGACTGATCTGTGAAATGTGAAGCACCATCACCATCCTAAATGCTGGCTGAAAATGCTTCTTGAAGTTGGCTTGCAGGAGGTTTTGTGCTTTCCTGGGCAGTTTCGTATCTATTTTAGGTTTGTATGCTTTTGGTGAAAAGTATTGCATGGGTTTGGACATACAAATATGTTACAGCACACGACCTATGCTGCAGGGAGTAATTCCCTGCTCATCTTCTTCCTCCACCCCTTCATGCACTCCCAGCCAGCTTGGGACAGTCAGACAGTCAAGTTTCACCAGCCAAATGACATGCAGACTCCAGAAGCCCTGGTATAACCTGACCTTGTTTGAATGCCAGGAACAGAAATGGCTCAATAGACTGGGGAGGGGGAAACAAAGAGAAGGAGAAAGATTAAGCCATAAAAAATATTTCTTAAAAAACTTCCCTCTACAGGCTAAAGGACACCATGATCTAAACCGGGCTACTTAGATGGCCCTTCTTTAATGATGTTTTGCCTTCTTAAAACCCCTTAGCTGTTCAATAAGCAACTTAGCCATCAGATACAAGTCTGCCAAGAAGTAAGGCTGATGGAAAAAGAACATCAAAAAAAAATCCTGTCTGCCCATCCATCACATGGTTAAAAGAACGTATTTTCTCACAGAACAGACATGGCAAAAATAAAATAAAAATCCTGACCACTTCACAAGGACATCTAAGCTGCTGAGAAGGGACTCAGCTCCCAGTCTCACCTGAAGTCCTCTTTTGTCCAACACTCTCTGACTGCCACCAATTCCCCCTCTCACTGGTTTTCTGCTGAATATAGCAAGCAGAAGTAGGCAGAGCAGATGAACTTTTATATGATTAATGCTATCTGTCCAAAACACTCTATCAAAATTATCCTGACGACCATCTTTATTTGTCTTCTTCATCTCTGCCCAAGAACGTTCCCTATCTCCTCTCATATCTACCACACACAGAAAACTGCAGAAAATGGTCATTAAGGAGGTGCCTAGGGTGCTGAATTAGAGGAACTCTCCAGTTCTTTCAATGGAAATCTAAACCATTCATATTATCACCAGTTCTTCTCTCCATTAGATTTCCTCCCTCTTCTGCTTTGGGCTTGCTTTCAAACACACAGGTGTTACATGCTTGACACAAAGTGTTTTCATTTTTAAATGCTGGGGAGTTAACATACACTAGGGAACAAACACTCAGCATGTCACTGACTCTTATCTGTACTCCCTAAGGACTTCACAGCACTAGGAAATATGCAAGATATGCAGCATTTGTTCTGCAAAGCCCTAGAAGCAAAACAGAGAGAAGCAAGGGGGAAAAGAGATTTTGAAAACAATCACTACTATTTCTCAAACATCTCCAACTCCACATGAGTTGAACTATAGCGAAGTGCTAGTAGTATGGTCACAAAACACTTAAAGGAAGGTGCCCCTGACTGTGGCAGGTGAGTTGGAACTAGATGTTCCTTAAAGTGCCTTCCAACCCAAAGCATTCTATGTTTTGGGCAAATGCTGCTGAGGAAGCATCACCCACTAAGCCCATAAGAACACCTTGCCCCTACCAAAATTACAAGATGTGCAAGCTGCATTTCAACAAAAGAAAATGTGTCATTCATCCAGTTAGATTCACCATTTTTATCCCAATCAAATTCATCAATTTCCACCCCATCAAGTAAGTAGGAAATAATGTATTTTCCCTTGAAAGACAGCTGCAGTAAAGAAACCAGAATTGCAAGCAAGATTTCTGCTGGCTAGAATGCTTGGACAACCTCTTTTATGCTAAACTGCAGCTGTAAGCTATTGTTCAAAGTATGGGAAGGAGAATGGCAGACTTCTAAAAAGGAAACATATGCCCAGATTCAGCCTCGATGCAGTGGAGTGTGATCACCGACAGTAGGGTGCTCAACATCTTTCAACTCTTGCCCAGTTCTTCTCTGCGAAGACCATGTAGCAAACAATTACACAGGGTACCAAGGTCTAAAGGCAGTAATAGTTCTTACCTCATACTTCCGTGCAACATCAACATTACAGATCAGGCAAAAAAGAGGTAAAACATATGCACTGCGATACCCTGTTGTTTTTCATATATGAATGAGTAACTGACATTGTGCTGAGACATTCAAAAGGTACGGCTCAAAGGATGCTCTCAACAAACCTTACATGCTACTTACAAACACATCCCAGGATCTGTTAGGCAGCTAAGCTTTCCTTTCTGTGAACAGCATAGAAACTGAGAAGACATTCACTCCTCCGTTTAAAAAAATGCATTTAAAACTGAACAACTGAATTACCTAATTGATTTCCATAGATGAATTCAAATAGTATCACTGGGAGCTTTTACATTTTAGCTCTTTGGAAAATGACATTATTTCTATCCTAGTACTTAACTACAGTTCTTATTGCCTAATTTTAAGCACTCAACGGAACATTCAACATGCTTTTAACTGTTCATTCTTACCTACAACTGAACTTCAATAATGTGTCAGCTACTTCATAAATCTAAACCAGAACACTTTCTTGTTTTGTAAACAGCATAGAAGAGTAAACTAAATTACATGGGTCAAATGTATGTAAAGGTATATTCTGTGTACAAGTTCACCTTTGTTTCTTGCTCATGATTTCCAAAGTTCAGCTAACGGCAAAGATTTCCCTAACTGCTTTTATTAGCTAAGCTGTATTACTGATGTGACTGTACTCCTTCCCTCTCTCCTTTGAATGTTATTATTGAAATGAGAAAATTATATAAAAAACCTAATTCTGCTGCAAATTAGAGTTTTAGTAAGTATGTATACCAGACCACCATCTTTGGTCAGTGGCTGTCTTGCCCTACCTTTTGTGACACACAGCAAGGTCATAGTGTACTAAAAACCTTGAATTTGTATCTGCTAAGAGGTTTTTTGCTGTTTAGTACTTCATGGGCACACACCCCACAATTAACAAATCCACCTGCTGAATTGCTACTGTAGCTCACTTCTTGGAGATCACAGTGAGGTCTGAAGACATTCAGCATCATCCTGAACAACTTGGTGAGTGACTGGGATTATGAGAAGCCCAGAGAAGAAGGGTGTTGGACTTCTCTGGTCAACTCTGTTGACCCTTTTGCTGTAAGTGGAAATAAGAATCCACTCGGGCACCCGAATGGTCCTGGCAAAAGGGACTGATAATTGCCTTGATACGTTCACAGAGAAAAGAGTAACAGAAACAAGTGCCAGAAAATAAGTATGAAGACACAGAAACCAGGAAACAAGTAAATGACTGCTCTACCATTGTGCTGCATGTCTTATCTGCAAGAGAAGTTCAAAAATTTCAAGGGAAAGTATATGCAGGGTTTAATCATTTCCTCTCTTTCACAGCTGTACAGTTTGAAGGAGAAAATGTTCTGGATTCCTTTCTTGAGAGCTACAACCACCCTCCTCCCCCCAGAGATATGCACTAGCAATGAGCAGCGACAATGGAAACAACAATGGGTGTACATATGAAAATATCCTGTAAACACAAAACCGCATGCAGTACAGAGGAACATTTATCACATGCTTGACTGAACAGCCACACAAAACCTTGAAACACCAACAAACCAAATAACAAAGTATGAAAAATATTCAGGACACATTGCTGTTGTTAACACTTAAGGTCTAATTTGAACCTTTTTATACATGAAGAAAGTAAAATGTAAGTAAGTGCCACAGAAAATATGACACTGAGATTAATCCAGATATCAGTACATCATCCTCATGTCAATTCTAGCTGTGAACCCTGTATACACGCATGCGCGCACACACACACAGACACACACACATGCTCTGAGCATGTTCTGGGGTGGCTGTCATAGATTAAATTTTAAAATATCAGCAGTATTTATTTTTTTTTTAATACAGGTGTTTTCATTCCAGTCTTAAAAGTATACTCCAATCTTCAAGTTTAAAGCAATATACACATACATATACACACACCCTTGTACCTTTTTTAAGAAAATACACATAAACATTAACATGTGCAGCCACATGTACAGACACAAAAAGAGAGAGAATATGTACCTATATCTGGATATATCCCTGACATTACTATGGATGTCATAAAAGCATGGAATGATTTTACAGACAAATTGCAACACAGAGCCATAATGAGTGTCTGAATTGCCAATACTCACACATAACTGAGGGCCTGATCATCAGCAGGTGCTGGAGAAGATCTAGAATGTGAAGCATATGAGGTAGTATCTTTTTACAATGGTGTTAACAAATGTCAATGTCTCATGCTGACTGTGAGAGGCATATTTATGTAGTTAAAAGTGTGAGCTGCTTTTTTTTTGTTTTCTTTCTCCTTTTTGCTTTTTTTTGCTTTCCCCATTCCACCTCCACTTCATCTACACCTCCCCCAGAAAGCATCTGCTCTTTATTATTTTCTATAGCAGTGATTATTAACAAGCATGGAAAATGAAACTGCAATCTATCTTTTATTTCTTGATCAGGAATTCATCCCCACATTTTTGGCAGGTGAATTCTGATTCAGCTCTGTAATTATCTGACAGATGTTACAAGCAGCTGCTGCTGAGCACAAAACACTGGCTATTATTACAGAAATATAAAAGCTCCTGGCAAGGTGGAATGAGAAGTGAAACGAAATGCATTCTGTATGGCCACACATCTGGTTTTCTACACACAAAGGGGAAAAAAATAAATACCTTAGTCTGAAACTCATATTTCTGGTTCTTGAACTATTCAAAATCAAATTTTCTTCAATAAAACAAAACAAAGCATTTATGTGGCAAGTAAGAACAGGTTTGCATTTTCTCAGTAAATAATGTCTGCCACTGAAATAAAACTTTGAAATTAAAATATTTCTACCTAATCACTTTTTGAAGGCACTTTGCAACCGAAAAAAAGCTCAGTCTTACAGTTCCAACTCTTCAGCCCTGTATGGATGAAGAGGAATGATACGTAGACAGATACATCTGAGTACTTGTGCACCCTTGTTTCCCATGGAAGACAACAAAGAGATGCAACTTGTTCATGAGAAACGCTGGCCCTTAAATAGCAAATCCTGCATCACAGTGGACCACACTAGCTCTGAAGCGACATCTACATAGCTGTGTATCTCCCTCGGAAAACATGAACATCTGTCATGAGATAATGATTCACATCTCCAATTTCAGACATGGGACATTACCCCCATTTTTATCATAATATTTTTCCTGAGATCCTGTACTGCTCCTGAAAGTACAGATTACAGAAAACTTTAATTATCCTGAATAGGTATCAAAGCTACGTAGGCCAAAAAATATTGTCCTTATTCTTGCAAGACTCCTTTAGAAGCTACCATAGGTTTTGGTCTTTCAGTTCTTTAAAGTGCTGAAGCCAGCTTCACTTTAAATCCTTATCATGGGAATATAAGAATATGAATAGCAACTGCCCCTCTTCTGCAAGGTCTTTCAGAAAGGGCATAAACTTTTTTCTGCAAAATCTGAATATTCACATCTAAGACAAGATTTTGGTATTTCTGACGTATACGTAAAAGAGTAAGACTACAAAAGTTATAGGCACATAGTGTAAAGCGCAGCAGCTATGAAGGGATAAGCACAACTAATGAGTGCATCTGTGCTTGGTTACGTAACTGTGGCACTAATAAAAGACTCCTCACAGAAGAACGGTGCTGTAACATCTGTGTATCTAAGCAGACACACACACACATGCATGCATGCATGCATACCAACTGATTTCAGCTGTGGTAGTCAGAAGTAGAATAGAGTTTAAAAGCTTACAATAAAAATCAATGTCACATTTTATCAATAACTCATATTGATGACAGAATTGACAATAATGTAATCCATTATATGAGCACATCCCATTATTTAAACAAGCCTGTATTAAATCATAATCAAAATCTGTGACAAATATGGGGCAATTTAACTTACTACCCACAGAGAAGATACTTTGTCTATCTGTTCCTGAAATGCCAAGTCTCTTCAAAGCTAGAATACTTCTGGGGAAGAACCAAATGCCCTGCAGTTCATTTTGAACTGACAGAAACCACACAGTTACCTGTAACAGCACTGGGGCTGAACTGACCCAATCCATGCTACCACGGGTTTGAGAAAAACAGCTACTAGATTCCTGGAGCTGCATTGCTGTGTTTAGAGCACTGCCTACAAGCTGAGGAACAGTCTTATTTCTAGATGATGCACGTGGGCAAAGTTAACTCCATAACCATGAGAGCTAGAAAGAATTTTACTTTAAGAGAAAATTAAAGGGTTGTGAATTGAGTGAACTTGAGAAGAAGAAACTTTCTCTTCAAGCAAGTGTATTTTTCAGAACTTGTATTGATTACTACAAGTTTAGAGTAGTACTCCCAAAAGCAGGTATTTATGCACTAGAGCAACAGCACCTTTGTATGTACTAATAAAAACTTGTGACTTCACAAAACACACTATTTCTACTTTTTGTCACAGATGTACTGAAAATGTTTCAAATTTTACTTTTCTGCATTAACATCATGTGTCATACTTTCTGTCTGGCAGTCAAAGCCAAAATCCATTACAAAGATCTTCCTGAAATGAAGCCACTTGTGCAATGGCCAGGACAGTTCACCTTTGACAAAAACAAACACCCTGAGGAAACCCCTACTTTCTTCAGGAAAGTCATATTGTGAAAGCAAAACTCTAATACCATTCCTTCAATATCACCAGGTAGGGCAGTAATGATGATATTTACCACTGATAGCAGTAACTTTAGTAAGAACATCCAAAGCCTCTCACACATGTGATTTTATCTTTCAAATGCACGAAGCTGTAATCCCAAGGTGAATTATCCATCTGAAGTTGTTAACTTAAAGGTAAATTCAAGTTGTAAAAATAAAATTTTCATTTAGAATACTTCCATAAATAACCAGATATTGATTATTAGTCTCTTCCTACCACAATTCATCATCTACCTTTACCTACTTTATATCTGGTCCAATGAGTGAATGCCTCCTTAGCATAGCCCGGGCTTGTGCATTGGTTAAGTCAGTGGTTGACTCTTCATTAATGGACAGGATGCAGTCCCCCACACCAATCCGTCCATCACGACTTATTGAGCCTCCATGGATGATGCTGCGGACTATCATTCCTGAGCCATTTTTATTGGAACTTACCGTCATCCCTACAGTGAAAAACACATTAAACAGTTAGTAATGTCTTTGAGAGCTAGCTCTGAAAAAGAAATGTAACCTGGGGCACGGAAGACAAAAGCCAGCCAGCCCGCCTGTCAATGTCAGCAAGCCTGTAAACATTGCTCTTATTCTCTCTTGCAATCTCCTCCTCCAATCAGTAGTTACAAGTCACAACCTCAGCATCTTTGCTTTACCTTGCGTCGTTTCACATACCAGGCTCAAAAAAAAAAAAACAAACAAAAAAAAACCAACCAAACAAACAAAAACAAAAAAAAAACCCAAAAAATAAGCAGAAAATAAACAAAAAAAGGTAATTAAATTGTTTCTAAACCAGTCAAATTTACCACTTTTCTGGATGGCTTATGGAGTTTATACACCACATTTCAATTCATTTTATAATGGTTCTCTCTGGAAAGGTGGTGGAATGATTAAAGAGTTAATCAGGAGCATAGAGACAACACAACCACATACTTATTTTCAACAAAAAGCCTCAATCAGAGGCCACTTTGCTAGTGGCTGCATTTCTGCCCTCCTAGGTGGACCACTGCTTAGGCCTAGAAGAGTGTCCTGACATCTGTGAGAGCCTGTGCACTACTTACGGATACAGTCCACTACCTGACACCATGACTCCACACCTGTGGCACAGCAAGACATTACTTCTCAATGTTTCTACACCACATTTAACTCCACTTCCTTTTCGCTAATGGGATTTGAGATAGAGATGCTCTTCTCTCTCCTCCCCTGTGGGAAGTCTTGTGACTGCTGTTAGACTCATGAGTTCTCACTGTTATTTTCAGGACAGTTGGTGCTCATAAAATCAACCCTGATGACAGTTCCAGGAAAAGTTCTTAGCTCTTTCCTAAGGCAACAGAAAAGTACCTGAAGGGTCATCATTCTGGAAGGCCAGCTAGCGGACCCAGCTTCCACTATCTTAATACTGTCAAATTAATTTTTATTCTTTTTTGTGTGCTAAAGCTTTCCTCTACTAACAAGATGAAGCCACTGAAGTAAGAGAGCCTTATAGAGAATATCCTCTGGAGAAGGGGGCAGTGACTATTCTGCTATGTGCTCTCTTGGTTTTGCATGTAAACATCAGGCTAGGAAGCACTGGGAGTGCAGCTGTGTGTCTGCACCTTATTGTCCAGACTGTGAATCTGTGCACTATTGCCCAGACTGTGAGTGGAAGATGAAAGCTACCCAGAGCAGATCTAGTGACTACAAAAAAATTGTAACCATTTCTATACAAACACGGCTACAGAAGACAGAGACTGAACAATTTACTCTGTGACCGCAGACCTTGGGAGGCAGATTGGCTGAACAGAGTTTAGAAGGCAGGTATAAACCCCAAGCTACTCAGACTCAGCCAACCAAAAAAATATCTGCATATATACATCCGTCTCAGAGAAAAAAATAAAATTAACCATTTAAAAAACAACACTAATCCCAATATTCCTTTGTGTTTTTTAGGACTCCTTCCAGAAAATAAATCTCTCTTAATAGTGTTGGCTCCTCACACCCACTTGTAGCCAAGATCGACATAGTTGTATGAAGTACTAGAAAGTGGCCCTAACTAGCAAGGAATGGCCTGAAAAGGTTCCTAGACACAGAAATACATCTACTTCTCTACTTTGGTACATAGAAGTTCACATTTCTCTTTTGGAAAAACTGCAAAACCCATCTTCATGATGATACTTTATATTAAACTGATGAAAGAATATGGTGTTACCATTGACTGGAGATTTATATCTATGATTTGCCAGAAAATTATGTCAGCCGTGGACAGGTGTAATTTAAGCATGGGGGCAGCAGATCTGTGATACAGACACGCAATGCCACTGACATGCCTTGCTATCAGAAAAAGCAGAGGTAAACTGTCTGTCACCTACCTCTCAGATTAGTAATATCACAATGTTGAGCACATTTGGCATTTACCAGAGCTGTCCTGCAGAGGATACCCCAGCATTTACACTTACATACTTCTTCCAACAACCATCTCTTGAAAGATCTGCTCATACAGGTTACGTAGTCAGAGGTGAATGTAAATAAAACTGCAAGAGTGGTCTCCACCAGAGTATAGGCAGTGTGGACAGAAAAGCAAATTGCCACGGAAACAGCTGAAATGAAGTTTGAAGCTGTGAACGTAACTGCTGCTTGGTTAAGCCAGTAACAAACAACAGTATTACTGAGGCCAGTGTAACAACACTTTAGAAAAACATTACCCAGGGTTTCTATGCTGACATCCTCATTACAACAGATCTGCAAGGCTGATGTCACACTTTGGACAGTTACAGTTTCAGGTTAAAAATGCAAATGCCACTGTCAAGTTGCCAACGGCATCACACAGGACAATGGCATTTCAGCTTTTCTGGCATTTGGGTCCTCCATCCTCTTACCTTTTAAGAATCACAACCAAAAGGTTAGAGCTCCAGCTACGCCTGCTCTTGAAGAGCTATTGCAAGCTATAGATGACACCGTTTAAAAGGAAAAAAGAAGTGCCAGCTCTCAGCTGAAATAATTGATGCAGCTGCAGCTCTCAACATCATTCACAGCTCTTGATTTAGCTCCTTTTGTAAAAATGAAAGTTAAAAGCAGTGCAGCCATGTGTATAAATTGCTCGCTGTGCCCAGGCAGATTCCCAGGCCAGAGCATGCACAGACTGGAAGAAAAAGACCACAGTCAAAAGCCAGGAGAAAGCATTATTCACATTCATACTATATATACATTAAAGGCCAGTCTTACTTTTCATGTGTGCAACGTCTGCCAATGCGCACCCTGCCCCAAGTTTATATTTTTATGCTGTATTAAGCTTGACAAGAAATTTGCTTTCTTTGTTCACTGCACTTAAAATACTCCTAAACATACATGAAAAAGACTGCTTTATGGAGTTAAGAGGTTACTGTAAACAAAAGTTTTTTTAACAAAATCCAAATGCCTGGAACTGCTCTGTGACCTGCATTTTACACAGCCTGGGAATGAGGCCAGTAAAGACAGTAGTTACCCAAGCACCTCACAGCAATGAAAGCCAACGTATACCCACTTCAGCCTTGACTACAGCTTTATATTCTGGGAAGGCTGATTTTATGCCAGATTAGTTTCTGATCCAGTTTTGGAGACTGGCTGTATCAGGGAGAAGGTGATACACGGCAGAATGTGCACCCCGCCATGAGAAGGTATTTCGTACCAGGCAGAAGCAGGCACTGAATTACACCATTCACAGCATCCCATCCACCTCTGCACAGCAAGGGAGTCCTGAGTGGTGTCTTTTTATGAACAGTCTGTTCTGTGGACAACTCATCCTAATGTGTTTGCGAAGTCACTGCAGAGAGCCAGCACCCACACAAACTCCTGCCCTACCAACACCAAAGAGTCTTCAAGGACGTGCATCTGGCCAGAAGAAACAGCACCAGAACCTAAATCAAAAGTAGATGAACACTCCAGCCATGAACAGGAAGAGAGCACCACTGCTGTTCACCACAAAGCCTCCCTCCTGCTAGCTCTAGAAACTGGCCTGGAAGGATGCAATCTCCACACTCCCCCTCGCACTGCCCAGGGCCACACCACAGTCCAGAAGAGGACTCTGAAAAACATTTCCGTCTGTTGTGCCTGTTCAGTCCAAAATGTGCCTCTAGTCAGTATACTTAGGAAGTTGCAGATACTCAAAACTCTGAATTTCTCTACACAATCATAGTATCATTGAGCTAAAAATACTACCTATTAATTGTACCAATGACCTGATTTTCAGAAATACTGAGGCACTTAAAACTTGTATAAATATGTAGCAAGGAAGTTAACAGCTTGCTAGACCCTCCTGACCAACCTCAGAAAGCAAGATCATTTTCTGTTTACATACATTTGAAACTCTACTCTGGAGCTCTTCAACCAAAGTGTTCTTCTACAACATTCCTTGGCTGTATCTTGTTCTTTCCCCACATTACATAAACATACAGACATTAAAAAAACCAAAGTATTAAAATTATTATGTTGACATTTAGGAATTACTAGGAATTTTCATTACGGGGGTGGGGGGGGAATCTCATACTGGAGACGTTACTTTTGTGTTCACGGTGACAGAAAATAAATCCATTGCCACCACAGCCAAACACAGTAAGAAGAGCAAAGAATGAATATCCCAAAATGCTTTCCATACTAAAAAGAAAATGCTTAATCTTTACTAACTGTCCTGGGTTCAGCTACAGCAGTCATTTTTTTCTCCTTCTTAGTAGCTGGTGCAGTGCTGTGGTTTTGACTTTCAGTCTGGGGATCAACGCTGATAACACCGATGGTTTTAGTTGTTGCTAAGTGATGTTTACTCTGACCAAGGACTTTCTCAGTCTCATGCTCTGCCAGGGAGGAGGGGAAGCCGGGAGGAAGCAGAGACAGGACACCTGACCCAAACTGGCCAAAGGGGTATTCCATACCACAGCACGTCATGCCCAGTATATAAACTGGGGGGAGTTACCCGGAAGGCCCAGATCGCTGCTCGGGTCGGGCTGGGTATCGGTCGGCAGGTGTTGAGCGGTTTGTGTCCTCTCCCCTTGTTATTCCTCTTATCATTATTGTTGGTAGCAGTAGTGGTTTGTATTACACCTTAGCTACTGAACTGCTGTTACCTCACCCCGTATGAGTTCCTGATTCTCCTCCCCATCCCTCCGGGAGCAGGGGGAGGAAGGGGTGGGGGGGAGTGAGCGAGTGGCTGCGTGGTTCCAAGCTGCCAGCTGGGCTTGAACCACAACACTAACAAAACAGAAAACTAATGAGAAAAACAGAAAGCCATGTTCCTGAAAAGGTTACAAAAAACGTTAGCTACCTTACCTAGACTTGAATTGCCTTTTGCAATAGTGATAGTCTTCTCGTACACATTTTTTACTGAATTTGGGATTGTGGGAATTCCCTCCAAAGCTACTGGGCATCTCTTTTCCATCAAAAGCACTTGATCCTAACACAGGAGAAAATAACGTAAGTTCAGAATACTCATGTATGAGAAATAAAAATACGACTGGACATCCTGACCTCAACTAATCATACCTTATACAAAAGCTAGGTGAATAATTAACACAGATTCCTTATACAGACACTGGAAAAGTCAGTTCATCAAAGATCAAACTGACATACCTATTTTCTGTTTTCATGCAGGTTATACAGCTCATCTACCACAAGGTATGCTTTTAATTTAAGAACATCAGTAACACTCTTGAAATTAGTGGGCTGAACTCAAGTGCTCTCAGACTTGTTTACCACAAATGCCTGACGATCTGTCAGTGCTAAAATAACAAATCTTGCAAGAAACTGCAGCTCTATAAATAATTTCTTAATAAATCACTGAACAGAAGAAAAAGAAACACGTCACACTGACTGTCATATAAAGGAATGTTTCATTTGCACACTGTGGCACTGCAGGCCAGTTTGTGAGCTGAACCACACAGGCCTGCACAAACACCAGCATACAAATTGTTACACCACTCCCTCTTGGCTTCCTAGGCCTGGTTTTAAGCCGTGCACCTCCTCCTTGCATCCATGCCTCTTCAGAGGTTAACAGGGAATATGCTCAAAGGACACACTGTTGTCCAACAGAGTTTACTGCTGTAAGGTATGCGTAGACTTTTATATACCTCTGTACTGCCACTGTCTGAGATATCACTATCTTGACACCATGAAATACCTGCTGGTTTGGAAAGTTGCAAATATGTAAGTTTTGAAAGTTGCAAATCTGATGTGAGCTATGACATCTGATGGACATTTATAATCAAAGAACCATACACGGTTGTTAGCCAGTGACAATTCCTGTAGGAGATACTATGGTGTAATACAGCCTTTACATAGTTTTTTTTACTGATTATTCAAAAAAAAAAAAAAAAAAATCTTTACTTTTCCAGTGGGATCAAGCTGCATGGTAGTAGCAAGGCCTGTACTTAGTGCAATTTCTGCTGTTTTCTGAGATCCAGTCCATGTTGCCGCGTTTTCACTTTCATTTTGGTTGGTATCCAAAACATCCAGAGGCAGAAGATCCTTTTTAGTAAAACCAGTGGCAGTTTCCAGGCTATTCCCCTCTACAGACTTTTGCTCTCTCTGATTCAGATCCATGTTGTACAGATTCTTGTCAGATACACGGAAATCGGCTGCAGCATTTGAATGTTCCTCTCCAACAGACTGTTAAACACAGGGGACAATGAACGATCAACATTACTTTGTAGTATAATTACAAACTACATTTCATGCTAAAATCTTACACAGAAAATAATCACACAGAATTTAAACATATTGTTGTAACATGAAGCATTTTACTGTAACATTTACTTGCTTCCTCAGCCAATTTCTTCTGTTTTAAAATACCAAAAATCAATTAAAATAAGTTACTGCAAAGGCCAAATTCTTATTTGATACTCATCAATAGTTCTCCTCTAACAAAAGGCTGCATTACTAGGACTAAGCTCTCTATACAAAATTTGTTTAGACTTTCAAGATTCCAAGGTCCTGAATTCCAAATATTTTAAGCGATTTTAATAACCTCCTGAAAAAAAAAAAAAAATAATCTTCAAATATTCTCTAGCTGAGCTTTCAAAGTAAGTAATTTTAAAAACATGTAGGCCATTAGACATTAGAAGAATGTATCACGGACTTAGACATTGTGTCAGTACTAGGGATTTTTGTATCAATATTAGGGATTTTTCTCTAAAATATACTAAATGTAGTCACAAGAATGTCTACCTATATTTGTCTTGGTTGTTATCCACTTGTCCTACTAATTCTTCTGTTACCTTTCCAAAAAGTGGGGAAAACACGTTTCCTAGGATTTTGGGATATTTTGCAACATTTTCTATCAAGGGCCTTAGAATTAATTTTTCTCATCTTTCCTAAAGTGCATACATGCTTGTTCTGTCCCCAGACAATCATGAGAAACGGTTCACCTGTAAGTAAGTGGTTTAAGTAACATCTGAGAAGGTAATTGAGCAAAGCCTAAATACAACTAATCTGCATGATACAATCAATGACATAATTTCCTACCTTTTGGAAAACAAAACACCAAACTGTATTTCCATTATTCTGTAAGATTTTGGAGACAGCTGGGACGCATACTTTTAAGTCTGGTTTGTATCCATTTCCAAAACAATGAAAACAAGATCGAGATAATTCCCAATATTTATTCCATATGCCATATATACATATTAAAGTTGCAGCACATGCCTGTTTTAAGTTTTGTTTCACTTAAAGGAAAGGCAATGCTGTAATTTTTGAAGATAAACATGATTTCAGGAATTTGTAACTACACAACATGTGGCCTCATTAGAGCATTTGCATCACTTTGACTTCAAGATTTTTCATCACCTATTTCAAAAGTGACACCAAAGGCATTCAGAACCTGTCAACTGCCCTGAGGTCCAAAATAGCTAAATACCTCTGCATTCCTCACAGCATTGAACAGCATTTTTTTCGTTTTTACAGTATTTCATTTGCTTCAGAAGTCTTCTTTAATGAACCGATTTTCTTGCCACGTTCACCTTTTGAAGTCATTCATAACTAAATGCTACCTGATGAACTCACTTCATACTGGTGAAAAGAGAGGAACACTGAAAAGTCAGAACCATAATCCTTTAAAAACCATGAGAACCGAAGCCATCTTTAAGTCAGTGCTGAAAATAACTTAAGATTTTCTAGAGCCTCAACATGATATATAATGTAAATCCAGCCTCTATCTCATAAAATGCTTCTCAGCATGCAAAATGCATAATCCGTTTAAGTAACAATTACAGAGCTAAACAATGCAATCTGTCCCACTGGCACAGCAGAGATGTACTCTTCTGTGGATTAGGAGAAACCATTAGAAGATGAATTTAGCTTTCTAACCAGTGCTTCAGAAGGACTGAACATATTCCAGAAGGATAAAGGGAGTTATTGAAGCTCAAGTGGGGCAAAAGAAGCAGCAGCTATTGTATTCCAAGCCCACAGACTGCAAACCCTGGAAGAAACCCCTACAATGCTTTCAAAGATGACTGCTAGGAGAAATTACAAATCTACAGATTGTCAAGATTGTCAAGAAAAAAGAGCATGGAAAACCATGGAGAATCATAAAACATCAACTCTGATACAATCAAGTCATTAAGGGTATGTGACTAGCAAGAAAAAAGATGCTGATCTTAATACTCTTAAAGAACTTAGCTTCATTTACTGTCTTTAAATAGATATTGTTAGCAATCAGTTGTTTGAAATATATGGATTGATTTTTAATTACAGTAACTGTATGAACATCTCATTTCAGAACACAGTAAATGCATTAGCAAACATACCAACTATGAAGCATAAAAGCAAAGCTTAGGATGAAAACTTACTCTTGCTTTTCATACCTAAAATACTGTAGAATGATGCAGCTATTTTGTGTTACCACTGTTTGCTATGCTCTGAGGTAGTAACAATTAAGTTTTTGTAGCAGACTGCTCACCACAGCTTTAACGCTACAATCATCTCACCACACTTTATCTGGCTATACAAAATAAAAATACAAGCTTTCAATCTTATAGCTGCCCCTCTCTTCAACACAGATGTCTGTCTTCAAGACACCAGCTACACCCTGAACAAAACTGTACTTTAATCTGGTAACAAATAGTGCAGTTTGAACCAGAATGACATAAACCATATCTAATAAAACATATCTAATAACAGGCTTTTCATACTTATAATCAAAGTTCTTTACCAATAAAACCATCCTCCTCTTTACCTTGGGAGTTGACAGTGGAAGACAGAAGGTGTAGTTCAGCTCACCGCTACAGGTACTGCCGTGCAGAGCTATCATTGAAGCCTGGAAGACGTCACTGTCTAGAGAATACTGTGATTCAAAGGTGGACTCATCCGCTAGATCTGCCTCGCTGGAGTCCACCTAACAATAAAAGCAATTAAATCAGCCAGGCTGTTACCTTCACACCGCGTAAGCCCCAGACACATGCACCTCAGCCACTACACACTGACTGACACTTTTCTTGTATTTCTTTTTCCCCCCTGCATGTTTTACACTGAAGTTACACTTGCATAGAACAGTACGAAAGATTTCTGCTTCCATTATAATTCATGTTACTACATCTTCCGAGGTTGCAAAGAAGATCTGAAGTGAGAGTCTCAACTGGAATGAGATGCAGGGCTAAGGCAGGCTCATGACTGTTAACGGAAGTGTGAGGTGTTGGAGAATTCTGCTGTGCTCCCTGGCATCAATATTTTGATTTTTTTAGGGCTTTGTTTTGTTTTGTTTTGTTTTAATTTTATTTTACAAGAATTGACACTGAAAAAATTCTGAGCTTCACTTAGTGCCACCTGTCAGGAACGTTGCCCCAACCTAACTTCACAGGTTCAGTTGCTTTCAAAATGGTACAAAAAAATAATCATCTGGAAACTGTGACGATTTCCAATACATTTATGAGGAAAGAAAAAAAAAAAGACATAATTTTTATGATTTCCAAAAGATTTTAAATTTGACAACAAGATTAATACGGAGACTTCTGTCTTACATGAGAAATACAATTTTAAAAAGACATGGACATAGGCAGTACTTTTTGTGTGCCTCTGTGGTGAATCATACCATGAATTCGGTATATCAGATTCACAACACAGTCACATTCTGCAGATTCACAACCTGCAGTGATTGAACTGATTCATTTTTGGAGTACAAATGATCCATTTTTTAATGATCTCAACCCTAGAAACTTAACAGCTAATTAAAACTGCTCCTTTGGTGTAACTGACTCTCAGCCCATCTTCTGGAAAATGCAGACTACTGTTTCCAAAGCTATGCCCTAAAACAGGGAATGTAAAAAACTGGGATAGATCTGTAGAATCTGAGGGCAGATTTATCTATGAAAAATGGTATTTCATGAGTGCACTCCGCAAACGTATCTTCAAATCCGTTACTGCACATTCATTTTCATATTTTGCACATTTAACTAGTTGACAGAGTTGAAAACCTAACCATATTATCTGCTATATATTTTCATTGTTCTTTCACAATTTTAATTTTTTGTATGGATCACAGATAGAAGTAAAATTTCTAAATACTCAACTTTTAATCTGATTTTTTCAACACATCTTTAATTAAAGGTTATTTACAATATATAACCTAGTTTATTCATACTTCTTATCAATGAACAGTAGGTGGCAAACATAGTTACTTACTACTGTACCAAGGTAACAAACTGCAGAAGAAAAACAGGCAGTCTTGTTTAAAAACAAGTTACTAAAACCAGTTTGTCATTTCGCAAATGTGAAAAAATAGCAAACATACTGGAAGCCGCAACTCAGGGGGTTTTGCCCTATAAGGATCCATTTCTGATTTTTGTTAGGTTTTGGGTTTTTTTTCTAATTAAGTTCTGGTGTTCAGTAGAAACTGCTTCCTACCCATGTCCCTGAAAAATGAGGGCCAAATAACTTCAATATCAAATTCAGATCAGTAGAAATAACCATGAGAAGATATTGTCAGAACACTTTTTTATACTCAGAATATTTTTTTATATTCTGTTTTGGAGTTGGTTTGTTTGGTTAGGTTTTGGTTTTTGTTTTGTTTTTGTACAGTCCTGTTTCCTGTGCCTTTTCTATCTGAGTAACTTCTAGGCTATATAAGGCACTGAATGCTCAGGTAAGCTGCATTGTTAGTACAAGCGAACACCTTTTGACCTTGCAAATCTCATAACCACTGATTGATGCTGAAGCCTAAATACTATCAGGAGGAAGCACTGGCAGCTTTTGAAGACAGACAGCATTCCTTGTAAGGCTGGCTTACATGCAAAAAAAAAAAAAGAGTTCCAAAAACTTTTCAAGGTAGAGAAGTGATATATTATGATATAGACAAAAAGATTTATTTATTAAATAAGCACATGAATATTTCTCTATACAAGGTGAGATTTTCAAAAGGATACTGAGTGCATGCAAGGAAAACGAGGAAGCCATGCACTTTTGAAAATCTCAGAAAAATAATTTCTTCTTTTCCAGCAACTAACATATCATAGGCCAGATTCACAGCTCATGCAAACAGCGAAAATCTCCAGATGCCAGTTTCTACCATGTCGGTAGAAACTACCAACTACAGTGGATGAGTAATGTGGTGACAGTAAACACTAAAAATAAGCATGAGCAGTGACAAAGCAACCCCTTTCATTACAAAATGCAAAGACTTAAGAAATCTTTGGTAAGTTGGGCCACTAACCAGAGCCAGCTCAGCATGGAAGAGGGCTGCATCAGCTGGCCCCTCCTCCTCAAGTGACTGGGCAGTGTAGAAAAAGCAATCTTCCTTAGCAGAGACATAGCCCTCCTCTGGTGATAGCTGCAGAAAGAACGAAGCTCTGAGTTGGATGAGTGGCCAGGACACAAGACTTGCACAGTGCGTTTCGTGTTGGCGTTCAGAGAGGCAAATGATTTCCAAATGGGGCAAAGAGTTCATTTCAATTAGTCACAGCATTGGGTAGGTAAAGAAACATCTATTTTTCCAATTTACCTCAACTGATTCAGCTTCGGATCTCATTTTACACTTCCACATAAAGAAAAAGAACTATTCAGCTATACCACAGAGCTCACAGCTTAGTCAAAACACATTTTCAGTTTCTGCTCTTACTAAATGTATACTAAAACTGTCATCGGGGAAAGAGCTTAATAGCAGAGGCCTTTACAACCTTGCTAGCTGCAGGGTAATCTTATCAGAAGGCAAGGAGACTGAATCATAGAATCATTTGCGCTGGAAGGGACCTTTCGAAGGTCATCTAGTCCAACCTCCTGCCATGAGCAGGGACATCTTCAACTAGATTAGCTTGCCCAGAACCACACCCAACCTGAATCTCCCCTCTTTTAGTTTAAAACTATCACCCCTTGCCCTGTCACAACAGGCCCTGCTAAGAAGTCTCTCCCATCTTTCTTACAGGCCCCTTTTAAGTACTGGAAGGCCACAATAAGGTTTCCCCAGAGTCTTCTCTTCTCCAGGCGGAAAAACCCCAACTCTCTCAGCCTTTCCTCATAGGAGAGGTGCTCTACCCCTCTGATGATTTCTGTGACTCTCCTGGGGATCCTCTCTAACAGGTCCCTGTCTTTCCTGTACTGAGGACTCCAGAGCTGGACACAGCAGTGCAGATGGGGCCTCACAAGAGCAGAGTAAAAGGGAAGAATCATCTCCCTTGACCTGCTGGTCACTGCATCCACCATCTGTATTTTATGATTGTATTTGCTAGGTGGAACAGGCTCAAAAGGACAAAATTCAATTCTGACTATAAACCAGTAGTTTTGCAACGTAACTTTATGTTAAGTGTCTTCATCCAGTACTACAAAGAAGCCAGTGATTAAGTAATTGGTAAGCATAATACATGAAATAGTAAAGTGCAAAAGCTGTGTATTTACAAACTGCTGGGAACAGAAACAAAACCCTCGCACGTTTTCTCTTTTAGAGTGACATCTTAAGTATATGTCCTGGTTTCAGCTGTAACAGTTACTTTTTTTCCTCCTTCCCAGTAGCTGGTGTAGTGCCGTGTTTTGGCTTTAGTCTGAGAACAATGCTGGTAATACACTGATGCTTCAGTTGTTGCTTAGTAGCACTTACCCTGATCGAGGACTTTTCAGTCTCATGCTCTGCCTGTGAAGAGGGGCACAAGAAGCCAGCAGGGAGCAGAGAAAGGACACCTGACCCAAACTAGCTGAAGGGGTATTCTGATGATGCCATTCTACTGATTTTAATTTACACACTAGGAAGACTAGTACACGAGCATCCGTACTGATACACTATCTCAGTAACCCTAGGTCTCCTTCAGCCTCACTCTTCTAATTGTTACAGACTACCTTCTAAAATCAAGTCTGAAAGTATTTATAGCTATAGTAAAATAAGCAGCTGTATGAACTGAAGACTCACCATTGTTTAAACATAAAGCATGCAGTCTAAATACAAAGGCTACAAAGGAATAGGCAAATTCCAGGCAAACCACATACAAATGACTTTACATCACCATCTCACACATTCAGAGAATCCTGTAAAGTGTACAAAATTATGCCTGGCAACTTTCAGCCCTGAAAGACTGTGCTGGTTGAAAGATGCTTCGCCGTTTTCTCAGCTGCAAGATGGGTGTGCTAGGTCCTGCAATCACTGCGCTAGTCGTACACTATACAGGCCACTCCTACATGCAAGGAGATACAGGAATATGTTAAAGACAGCTTCTGAATGTTTTCAGCCACCCAGCTGTACTCCAAAGCACAAGGAGTGTTTGCGGATGTCAGGATCACCATGTACCGGGTTAAATGACAAACAGGGAAAGTATCCATCCAATTCCCAAATCCTTACAGGCAGTGGTTTGGCAACTCCTATTTTAACTGTTCCTGTTGGGGCTCCTTTCAGTGCTTGTACTGCTTCCTCCAGGCTGCCATTTTCCAAGTTGATATCGTTGACAAACATAAGCCGATCCCCGGGAAGAAGTCTGCCATCTTGCTCAGCCACTCCCCCAGGAACTAATGAGCGAATCACAATTACAGTGTTTGCTGGATCTACAGGATCCTAATTAAATAAAAGGAAGAAAAACATTTCATTTTATTTACACTTTCATATCTTGGAAATCTAACTTTTTAGCTGAGCTTTTATTAACCCAACAAAGAAGCTGGAGCTCTGCTCCAGATGAACCCACAGCAGGAACATACCCTGCTGTCTATACTGCCCACACATTTATACTTCCACCTATTTTTAACTCTTAAATGTAAACATTATGCCTCCTTTCTAGGTGATGTCCCATAATGTATCTCCAGCATAAAATACTGCTAAACTGTGTAGTGCTGTTTGCACTGTAATGAGTAACTACACACCAAAAATTCAAATACTTCCTACTGCAATGAAAGTGTTGCAGACTTCATCCTCTCTTACACTCAAGGGTCTGGGAACGCAGCTGGGCAGTGCAGGCTGGGGCAAGTTAACACACGCGCTCTGGTGGAACATGATGTTTATTTTCAGTAACTTTTATACTCCACAGCACCCGATCTTGCTCAGCTGAGAAAGGACTTTCTAAGAGGCAAGTCCTTATGCATGCCTAATCAAACACTTTATGGGACACAGGAACATACCAATACAGCACTCTAATCAACAGGACACAACAAAGTGGTGTTTGCTTTTAAAAAAGAAAACTGCTTTGAAGTCCTCATCCTCCAATGCACTGATTTCTATAAAAATACTAGCATCAAACAGTAGTAACAGAAACACACAATCCTATAATAACAGTTATCAGAGATTAACATATTTGCATCATTCTTATAGAATTACTTTCACAAGCAACATCATTACATGTTAATACTTCCAACATATGGCAATTCAATTGCGTACATGCACAGAAAAAACCCGGAAATGCAATAATGGACCAGCTTTACTGATAACAAAAGAAAAACAAAATATCTACAAACTGGCATGAAGCTATAGTAAGTTTCTGTGCCAAAGTGTACACCTAGAAGTATGCACATCATCAAAGCAGCACCCATAAGCACAGGAACTGGTGACTGCTGAAAGCTAGTGTGCGAGAGAAGCGCAGAGGAAGAGAGGGCCACCAAGAAGACCCTTAACTTCATGGCAGTTAATGCAGTAAGAAGAATGCCATGGAGCAATAAAACACTTCGCAAACTAGCACTGATGTAGATAGTGCTTAAGCCTGAACACCGACAACCTCCTCACTATTTTAACAAGTATTAACAGTGTCACTTTAGATGACACTGCGTGACACACTTTTGGGGGGAAAAAAATCACCCCTATAGTTTATGTGATAGTCTTCCCTGGGGTAAGAAATTATGTAGACTTTCCTACAGGGCTGCCACTGTATAAAACACAAGGAATGTATTAGTATGAACATAACTGTCCTTAACTTCAATCACTGTTCACTGAAAATTGAAAATTTGATTGAAACAGCAAAATAGAAAGATGAATCTCACTGTAATCTTATTTTTCACAGTCTCAGAAGAAAGCAGAAACTTCAGTGACAAACTGAAATGTTTTAACCACATGTCAAAGGAGAAATCATAGGACAAATGACAAATATTTTAACACCAGAAAAGGTAAGTTTCAGAAATCTGACTAGAGCTGTAGGATATGATAAAACTCACATTTGCAAAACATATTCAACATATTAAGGTACTTCCCACAACCCTTCAATATTACCATCCATAAACAAAATTCAGTAGATAAAAACCATTTGTGTCAATGCTTCAGAAGAGGCTGAAGCAAACATACACTTTACTTTGTGCTGATGTGGACTCCAAATACTTAGGCTCAGCTATGGTGTCTCACTCCAGAGTATCTTGAGTAACACATTAAAGAGTAATCACTGTTTCATGAAACACGTAATTGACCATGCCTTTATGCTTCAGATTATTGAGCTACTCTGCTCGTCACTTTTATCAGTATGCAAATACAAAATACTGTTGAGGCACAGATTAATTCTGAAGCATGCTCTGAAGGCATAATTTTCATTTGGAAGTGACCTCAAGATGCAAATATACCCTTAGGAACTAGATCCAGCAGATACCTAGAAGGGGACCAGATCCTACAGCACCACCAAACAGCAAAAGCTTATGCTGACCACAAGAGAAATTACTTAAAAGTCAGAATAAAAATTATCCACTGTGACAACTGGGAACAGGAGGATCCTAACCAGGATCCTGGGATCCTGACCAATTTCAAGCTGGGGACAGACACACAGCTATTCATTGAGGTATTACACCAGGAATCACAGCTTGAGATACTTAGGAATTCTGAAGTCAAACACAAAACATGTTGTGCACAGACAGCAGCTAAGCAAGGGATTTCAGAATCACAGTTCTGGATTTTAGTAAATCCTGCTTTAAGCACCTAAGTCCTTTATTGGATCTTGCCCTAAGTACCTCACTGCAGGTGCAAAATACATGAGTAAATGCCTGAATATTCTGACTACATCATTCATTGCCCCTGGGGCACTAGAAGATCAGCTTTCTGAAGACACTACTATATTAATTGATCATCTATTTTTCTGGACCAGAATTACCACTATTGTTAGAATCTGCAATCTTAACACAGTAATAAATATAACTAATCTAGCTATTAGGGTGCCAACAGTGATAACCATTTAGCTTTACTGTGTTGCTTGGTTTCCATTAATGTTTATGCTTAAAATATGTACTCAGATCATCCTGCAAGATCCAATAGGAATTATTCTGGACTGCAAAGAGAAAGGAGTGTAAAAGTTACCTGGTAGTCCAATATGCTAAATCCAAGTCCTGTACTCCCTTTCTCCAGCTCAATGTGCTGTACTTCTGTTTCCCACATTGCCAAAGATGAGCTTTGCACCTCTTCCATACTCTGACCCTCGTCAGCTGTTTCCAAAGCTGTTCCCTCTGTGTCAGAGGAGCCAATGAATCCAAGTTCTACATGAGCCTGAGAAAAAGTGAATGTTCACCAATAAAATACAAATCTTTGTGAATCTGCATAGACAAAACTCTGTTCCCAATAAACAAGATAAAAACTAAGTGATGCATCTCTAAACACAGAGGAAGTACTCAGCAGATTTAACAAACAAGTCTGATAAACACAAAATTCATGTCCTCGTAACAAAACAGTTACACTACAAGTATATGAAAGTATGCACTAGAAAAAATACTTAAAAAATGGAATTTCTGTCAAACTAAAAACTTCAGAAAACTTCATTCGTACATGTATTCAAATATATAGGAAATATCTACTATTATACAGTATGTCTAAAAACATGCCTTGCTCTAAATATAACTGCACTGACAGGCGTCAGAACATTTAAAAAAGAAAACACACACACACACACATACATGCACACACGTATGTTCTTCACTTGCTTTAGTAGAAAAGCATAGCAACTATAAACTGAATTTGGTGCCTTGCTCGCAACTCAGAATTAGTAACTGTGTTTCTTTTCATACAAATGTTATTGCGTTGTATACTACACTACAGGCCGTACTGACATGCTTAGTATGTCATGCTGCCCAGAGACTTGGACTCAGAAGTGACATATGTGTTTCTGCCAGTGAATGCAACATACAGTTCTACACAACACAAACCCCAGAAGCTCAAAACCAGACTGAATATATTCATAGTCTAAAGAACACACAGTTCAGTTTGCCATACCCCTAAAGCTCACCTGAACAACATAAGCTAAGTACTTAGACAGACATAGATAGACCTGCATCTAGTATTTCTGCCCATGGCCTATCATGAGACTGAAGTACAGTTGATGAATATAATTTGTCTCATTCGATTTATCTGGTTGCAAGTCTAATCCTGTACAAGAACTTGGTATTTTTCTCAAGGAAACAGTCATTCTCCCAGCGATAATTTAAGACAAAATACCTTTTCTGTGAGCTGAACCTCAGATAGACTTAGACTCTCCAGTACTTCTGAGTGAGCGATGTGGGAAGCTACTGGACGACAGCACACCACTGTCACTTTAATAGGCAGTTCTTTCAAGATATTGACCACATCCTTGTGGTTTTCTCCAAGCAAAGATATCTCATTCACCTCAATAAATAAAGAATACATAGTGTTTAGAAGTACACAGTGTTTAGAAGCACAATGAACAAAATTGGGGAAAAAAAAAATCCAACTCACTAATCACCTCATCTAAAAGAAAAAAAATAAAACACAAGAAAAACCCATGCTAACAGACATTGTCAACCCTTAATTTCTACTCAATTTTGTGCTCAGAATTAGCACCAAGATAAATTCTGACCTGAATGGATAACCTCATAAATTGCATGACACCACCCTACACACACGCATACTGTGTCACTTCATTTTTCTTGCATTCACGTGAAACAAATTCCTATTTTAATTCTAATAAAATTATTCTGAAAAGTAAACAGATATTTAGTCCTGTCCTGGTTTCAGCTGGGACAGAGTTAATGTTCTTCCTAGTAGCTGGTGCAGTGCTGTGTTTTGGCTTTAGACTGAGAACAATGCTGGTAACACACTGATGTTTTAGTTGTTGCTCAGTGGCGCTTACCCTGATCAAGGACCTTTCAAGTCTCTCATGCTCTGCCTGTGAAGAGGGGCACAAGAAGCCAGGAGGGAGCAGAGACAGGACACCTGACCCAAACTGGCCAAAGGGGTATTCCATACCACAGCACATCATGTCCAGTATATAAACTGGGGGGAGTTACCCGGAAGGACAAATTGCTGCTCACGCCTGGCTGGGTATTGGTCGGCGGGTGGTGAGCAGTTGTATTGTACATCACTGCTGTTTGTTGGTTTTGGGTTCTTTTTAGTTCTCTCTCTTTGTGATTTTCCTTTTCATTACTATATTTTATTTTAATTACTGAACCGTTCTTATGTCAACCCATGGGTTTTACATTTTTTCCAATTCTTCTCCCCGTTCCACTGAGGGGATGGGGAGTGAGGAAGCAGCTGTATGGTACTCAGTTGCCAGCTGGGGTTAAACCATGACAAGTCTCCACACTGTGTAGAGATATTCCAATTAAATCTTAATGCTTTTGCTAGGTATGCTTTTTTGGTGACCTTGAACTATCTGAAAAATCAGCTATCAGATGAGAAATGCATGTAAGAGTATGAGTTTGCATAGATACGCATAAGCACATATGAAATGACTGCTGAAGCACTTCTGTTTACCTACAGTTAGGTATGCTACATTCCAAAACTAACTTATGTGAAGCAAGTGACTGCTCAAAAACCTTACTGAATGCAGGCTAAGATACAGTAGTACTTTTTCTTACTTCCAGCAGCTCATCTCCACTGAACAGCTTGCCGCTTCGTCCAACTGGCCCCTCTGGTAAGATAGATCTGATGAAATGATGTCCTACTGTAGCCTCAAGGCTTATCCCTAACCCACTACTTTCGCTGAATTTGTTAACTACAGCCACCTAAAAAAGATTGAGAAATTGTTACTTTTGACATATTTACAACCATACCTGTTACTTTCTGTTTCAAATTACATAAAACGAGGTGAATATTCCAGAAACGAGAAATCAGAAATATTGTCACGTGTAATGGGGACGGTTAGGAAGCTTTGATCTCGTGTCACTTCAGTATATACAAGTGAGAATTGTATATGACAATGATATATCTAAAAATATATACATTTGCAGAGACTACAGTTCTGGCATACAATTTTGAAGTAAAGTCCTAAACTCAGATACTGCTTTTCAATTGTATCTATAGTAAACGTCCTATGTGTTATTTAAATCACTACATTAAGCATTTTATTCAATATGCAGAATGGGTAGGACATTTCAACTTTGGATAATAAAGGGAGCTTCAAAATTCACCTTAAATATTTTTTTCTTTAATGCACATTCATCCTCTTGAAGCTAGGAAGTCTGTGAAGCAATGCTCACAGGAACAGTAGCCTAAGAAGCGTGTAATTATTTTGCTAAAATCAATAAAGAAAAAATCTTTCCTGTATTAAAAATTAATAATCAAAATAAAATCAATAGATTCAGGAGCATATGTATGATTTTTCTAAATAAAGGAACAAATACAATACAAACATATTTCTATGTTAGGAACATAATAAGTGGACAAATCAAAGGGCATTTAATAATAGTAATCGAAGTTTACCTACCACTATTTCATAATTCGTACCCATAATCCTCTGCCACTTTGCCTTCATAGCTGCTTCTTCTGTAGTAGTTACCTGGAAATCTAAAAGTTATGTCTGAGATTACTGTGACAAAAAATAAAATATTCTCTCTATCCATATAACTGATAAAGTATGTGAACCATGCAAGACGACTCAACCATTCCCACAATGTCAGAGCTCTCCTAAATATGACTAAAAACTTTGCATGTTTTCTCTTACCAGGTTTGGCTTTTTCCAGGTGTCCTGGGTTCAGCTACAGCAGTC